ACCTAGAAGGGTAGAAAGAAAAATTTTCCTCCCCAATAGTGGTCGGGTCTATATATTTCTTTATAGATATGTCTTAGGTAAATTTTGAAAAGACAGGAAAGGCAAGGAAGGAAGGACTAGTCAACACTTCTAATTGCTACAGAGTGATTAAGCAGGACAAGTGCTGAATAAAAACCAATGGTGATGTTAATTACTAAGTCTGATTACTCTTGAGAGAAGAGTTTTTATAGAGTTTCTTAAAAGAAAAAACCATCCTTCCTCCTGTATAAAGTAAATCTACCACCTCTCCCCTCCTCTAGGTCTTCTTTCATTTACTGTATCCCCTTACACTCTTGTAGCCTTTTCCTCTCTATTGGCTCTTTTGTAGCAAATAAACAGAGCTAAAATACCCTTTACTCTCTTCTCTACTTGAAGAATTCCAATTTGTCTTTCAAGACTCAATGTCACCTTCAAAGTGGATGTTTCCTAAGTCCCAGGTAAAATTTAGACTACTTTTCTTTCCTGGACTCACATAGCACTTTGCGTTTCCTCCTCTCTTAGATCTTACCCAAGTATACATTAGAGGTATCTACTTACATATCTGTCTTTTCCACCACACTGTGTGTAGGAACTGTGCCCTAGTCACCTTATATTCCTAATGCCAAGCATAGTGCAGAACACATCACAGAATTCAATATAATTTGTTGAAAGAACGGCTATTCGGCCAAAAAATTCACAAATGGCATGAATCCTTCTTTCCTAGAATGTTTTAATTTAGGTTTATCTTATAACTTATAGATCTAAAATATATTTTAAATTGGAACTTTTATTTCTCCATAAACTTTATAGAAGAATTCAACTTTAGGAGAAAAAAAAATAATGCACAGAGAATTATCCCACGGGAAAAAAAGAATAAATCTTGTTGCATGTGGCATAGTTAATATCATATATAATAAATTATAAACCAAAAGCAACATTATAAAAAATAAACACTGAAATACAGATATAAGGGAAAGAGTCTATTCCTCCTCAGACAAGGCAGTAGTTTTGCATATTAATGAAATTTAAATGCCTCACAGTAAGAAAAATGATTGGAATAGATTGCAATAACTTAAAAATGAGTATACTTTAAACAGCCTCTGTGATGAATATGTGATTATGGAGAATCAGTCAAAAAGGCTAGTCAGGCATTGTTCCACTCCAATGCTCCCAGAAGCAGGATGACTCATGGCCCTCAATTAACAAAGGCACATTGAGGGGGACTGGCAAAACTGAAGACACAAAGAAAGTCCACAGGTTGACTTGCTGAAATACACAAAGATGTCAGTCTGGTAGGTGACAATTGCAATATTTATAATATTATAAAATATTATATATATCCAAAGCATTCTAGAGTATTTATTTGAAAGTGAGAGAAAATAAAACAGAAAAAGACAAATAGATGCATAAAAGCAGGTGAAAAGTTTAAAATATTTGGTAGATTTAGATGAATTTCAGGGCCTGTGGCAAGTTACTATAAAAAATGGGCTGGAAGATTTTCTGTAAATGTTTTAGGCTTTGCAGGCTATATGGTCTTTATTACAACTACTGGTTGTGCCCTTGTAGTGCAAATGCAGCCACAGAAAATAGGTAATTGAATGGGTGCAGCTCTGTTCTAATAAGCTCTCTGATGACACTGACCTGCTGGTCAGAGGACCACACTTTGAGTAGCAAGGTGCTTGAACATGCCTGGGATGTCTAGGTCCTGCCCCAGAGACTGATGTATTTGGTCTAGGATGTGGACTGGATATTGAGATTTCTAAACACGCCACAGGTGGTTCTAATGTGCAGCAAAGTTTGAGAACCTCTGTGCTAAAGTGATTTATCAAGTTTAATTATTGTGTTATCAGTAGCCCTTTTGCCCATTCTCCCCTCCCAATCTACCCATTCCTCTCCAATTCAGGTCCAGACATCAAGATGATGATGGTGGGATCAGGTTTAGCACTTCATCCTTTCTTTCCCACCTCTGAGGAGTGGAATGTAGTTTAGTTGGAAAGAGGAGGCTCAGGCAACCTGGGTTTGGGAAGAATAAGCAAAAGATGTTCTAGGGAGTAATTTGAGGGGGAGGCTGTTTAAAGCAGCAAAACACACCTCCAGGCTTGGGCCTGAGTGTGGGGCAGTGAAAACAGCCATCTGCCCTCCTGAATCCTGGCAGCACTTGACAGCCAAGCAGCTAGCAAGGATTTTTCCTTCTCAGTATGCAGAATGACACAGTTGGTTGAAATGCAAGAGAGACCCCCAGTGGCAAAGTGCAGATGTGAAATCTTCTCCTCAGAGGAACACCACGAAGAACTTAGTGGATGAAGGTGATGATGGTAAGTGACGGCTTACACATAATACGTGTACTATGTGTGCCAGGCACTGTCGTAAGCATTTAAAAATATTAACTCATTTAGTCTTCTCAGCGACCCAATGGGGTTGATGCTTTTTTTTATCCCTCTTTTAGGTGGGAGGAAACGGAGGCACAGAAAAGTTAAGTGACATGCCCCAATTCACCCAATTTAGTAAGTGGCTAAGCTGGGATATGAACCCAGGCAACGTGAGGTTAAGAAACCACTACACCAACTGCTTCTCCAAAACAGGGAAGTAAGAAGGATCCTCAGTCAACTTACAGTTTTTAAACACTCATATGTTGATGCTCACCCTATGCTTCCTCATATGTAGACAACAGTTATATATGCACATATATGTATATACATATATATGTGTATGTATATATGTATACACACACACAACACACACACACACACACACACACACACACACACTTGAGCAATATCAGGGAGAGAAGACAACTTCAAACCGGGCAGAGAAAGAGTGAAGAGATCAAGTTTGACTAGAAAAATCAAAGGGGTAATAACATTTTCTGGAAACAAAATTCAAAGGGCCATAATCCTCATTTTAAAGAAAGTACTGAAGCATAGTCACAGGAAAATGTGAAAGGATATTACTGCTTAGCTAAAATTGTTCATAGTTTACTAAATACTCCAAAGCAATTTTTTAGCTTTAAAGAGACTGAAGCTACCCATATGTCTTTGAATATAGGCTACAACGTCTATAAATTTTTTAATTTTGATCTTTGTAAACTACATGTAGTGCAGAGAAAGAAGTGTTTTGAGTATTTTTTTCCAGACATGGACAGCCTTAAGGTTTACGTGGGTACAGATTTCATCTGGTCAAACAGAGAATGGACTGAGAGGGGAGGAGTTCTTTAAGGGGAGCAGAAAAAATTCTGTAGAGAAGCAGCTCTATCATTTCCTTGGGAAATCTTTTTACTGAGGAATCATTTCTTCTACCCATAGCCATGAAGACAAGGTAATAGGCTAACTCATCTCCACCTCTTGAAAGGAGAAACCAGAGGCCATACTGAGGTTAGGAACAGGCTGATAATGGGGACACTGGGTATGGGCACACATGGTCACAGTCTGGAATGAGGTAATGGTCAAGGTGGGGCCAGCAGCCCTCTGGGTGTTGTAACACCTCAACCCATCCTCTAATGGCAGCTGCGCAGGGCATGGGGCTGACTGTGCCACACTCTCTGGTAAGCTTATCCAGTCCCATGACCTCAACACCATCTGTGACTGATGTCTCTTATATGTTTATTTCCAAACCTGACATCCCACCTGAGCTCCAGATTCATTTTTCTGACTACCTGCATGACAGTTCCACTTGCATATCTAATAGGCATCTCAGATTTTACATGACATGCCTTCCCCACATCCTCAAATTAATAACTAACATTACCATCAACTCAGGTGTTCAAGTACAAACAGCAGAACCTAGATAATTTTCCCCATTTCTCCTTCTTCACTTGTGGTCCATGAGCAAATCCAACTAGAATTTGTCTCCATCACCTTTTCTTCAGCTTCCACTCCAGTTCAACCACTAATGTCTCTCATTGGACTGGGTACAAAATCTCCTGACTGGCCTCCCAGCTTCAACTCTCTCCCACCACTACATTCCTCCAAGCAGCCACTCATTGGCTTAACATTTAGGGGGATTTATTCTACTTCATATTCAGTATCACAAATTTGATCTTAGCCTTGACCTGATATTTTTCATTAACTAATCAGGTAGTGTGGGTTTTTTGGTAGCATATTACTTTAAGGGAAGAAAGGGTACAATTGAAGGAGAAAACTATATTTGGATATTTTGTAAGGGTAATATGCATATTCAGCATGGTGACCTAGGAAGTCACTCCCATGTCTATAAGAAAGTGAGCCTAAGGCTCAATTATATTATCACTGTGGCCCAGGGTGAGCTTGTCAAAAAGATACTCTGCCATACCTGCTTCTAAGACCCTCATGTTGCTACCCAATGCACAAACATTAATGTTTGCATATTTTAGTAAATGAAAAGTCTTCAGGTAAAGTTGAAGATTCCCTTTATTTTAATCCCTGCCCTATCCCATTCTTCACTTCTTCCTTAGAGGCAACCACTATGATGAATTCTAGACCATATTTTATTTTATTTTATTTTATTTTAAAGATTTTTTTTATTTATTTGACAGAGAGAGACACAGTGAGAGAGGGAACCCAAGCAGGGGGAGTGGCAGAGGGAGAAGCAGGCTTCCCCCGGAGCAGGGAGCCTGATGTGGGGCTCGATCCCAGGACCCTGGGATCATGACCTGAGCCGAAGGCAGCCGCTTAACTGACTGAGCCACCCAGGCGCCCCCATATTTTATTTTTTTAAATATAATTTACCATGCACACACACCCACATTCACCAGGGCCCCTACTCACACCGGCCCACCCCCATCTATCCACACTGTTTATAAGGGGAAGATTAAATTTGTATTTTCCAGGGTCCTGTGGAATACCTTCTCCCTCCATCCATGGAGATCCTGAGCTGCATGTGGCCTAGATACCTGCTTTAAAACGTAAAAGGTGAGCCATTTGCACACATGAATCAACCAGAGACCTTTATTTATTTAAGAGCCAAATAACTTTATTGAAACCAAACAACTTTATTTATTTATGGCAGAACTGGAAGAAAAAAACTGGAACGTTTCGCAAAGGCGATGCTGCAGTATGCGTGCTCGGCATGGTGATCAGGGAAAGTCGCCACGCACCCTGGGCTATAGGGGAACAGTCCCACCTCAGTTCTTTTCGTCGCCGTCGCCCAGGGTGAGCTTGTCAAAGAGGTACTCCGCCATGCCGTCTTCGGGAGCCCGCATCCTGCGCAGGCTGGTGACATAGCCCCCCAGCTCTTTGATGGACTTGACTTGCTCGTGCAGGTAGTGGCGCTCCAGGAAGTCGCACAGGTGGGCGTCGTTCTTGGCGGCGGCCAGCTGGTGCAGGTCGAGCAGGCACTGGTTCACGCTCTTCTCCAGGTGCAGGGCGCACTCCATGGCCCTCAGGCCGCTCTCCCAGTCGTCGCGGTCCGGCTTCTTGACGTCGCGCAGGCGGAGGCGGCCGCCGCGCTGGTTCTGCAGCTGCATCAGCTTCTCGGCGTGCTCGGTCTCCTCGCGGGCCTGGCGCAGGAAGAACTGGGCGAAGTTCTTCAAGGCCACGTCGTCGCGGTCGAAGTAGCAGGCCATGGACAGGTACACGCAGGAGGCGTAGAGCTCCAGGTTGATCTGGCTGTTGATGGCGGCCTCGCAGTCGGGGTGGTAGTTCTGGCGCACTTGGGAGAGCGGCGCGGTGGCCATGGCTGGCGGCCCGGGCACCGAGGCGAAGGCAAGGACGGCGCGGAAGCGAGGGCCGCGGAGCAGGCAGCGGCGGGGCCGAGGGCGGTGGCGGCCTCGGAGATTTCCCAGCCTGAGTGGCGAGGGAGGCAGGAGGCAGAACCAGTGGCGGCTGGAAGACCTCAGGGAAGTGTCCGTTGGGATGTTGCCCGAGCTCTGGGATGGGACCGGAAATGGGGTCCAGGGAAGGGGGGGCGAGCTTCCGGTTGGGGGGGTGGGCAACAAGGGCAGTGTTCCAGGTTCTATTGGAGCCTAAGCGAGACAGGGCAGCCCTGTGCTGTGTACTTGGTGTTTTATTAAGTTTTTAATTTGGGGATAATATGTCTATTTTCCAAGTACTTTCCTTCCTGCAGCCTGTTTTTATTTTATAAAACCATTGTCTCCCAAAATTCTGAGCATGTGAATTTGAATTTTTGGTAAATTTCTCTTCTGTTTCCTGTAAAATATAAATATATCTGTTTATCATCTTCTCTTTTACTTTCCTGAAATACTTAAAACTGCACATTCATATTTAGTAATGAAGAACTCATCTGATTAGTCTAGGTAATTAGCATGGATCTGATTTACAGTTGTGATGTTCATTTCACTAATAGGTTTCTCCTCTGAATGGGGAGGATGGAATGTATCAATTAAGGAGTGGTCTTCTCCTTTGGGAGTACATATCATGGAGCTTGCAGGTAGGAAATGTGCCATCCCAAAAGCCAAAAGCATGGCATTTCTCTGACACTGAAAGACTTCAGTAGATCTCTCTTCCAGGTAGATGTGTTCTGTTTTGTTTCTCTTCTGCTTTGCGGGTCTGCAGTTGTCTCAGACTTGCTCTAACTTGGGTTCCCTTTCTGATAAAGTAATTCACTGTCTTTGGAGTGTAGTTTAAAGAGATTAAAGCAGTTCAGTTGCCACTGTGGCTTTGTTGAATGTAAGTAACATTGGGGGAGGGTCAGAGCAGAGCAGGAGAAAACAGATTTGTTGTTCAGAGAGTAACTCTTTAATCTCACAGTATACCCAGGACCTTCGCTGTCCTTTGATTTCATTGACTCTATTCTTGAACCTTCTTTGAGTGTGCTTGACTTTCTACTGCAGGTATTTTAAGTTCTCTGGTTTTATCAGTCTGAAAGCAGCTCCTGTTTCTATCTTCCAAGCATTCTTCATGACCTCTGGTTTCCTAACTATATTCATTCTGGTTTGTATATGTTTTTGGGTCTGGTCCACCACCATGATTCAGTTACCACTTTTTACTTTTTAAAAATATAAATACCTATGTTTTTAAAATAATTAATGCATTCACATGGCTCAGAAACCACATAGTTCTACTCCCTGTAGGCAACCAATGGGGTATTACTTGTTGTAGTCAGAAAAAAGAGGAAGAAAAAGAAGAAATACGGCTCATGTTTAGAAAAATCATAGATACATAAGCATCTTTAGAAACATATTCTTTAGAAGCATATTACTTTTGAGGGCATATGGAGCATTACCACGGCAGACCATCCTCTGGGCCATACAACAAGTCTCAATAAACTTAAATGGATTCAAATCATGCAAGATATGTTCTCTGACCACAATGGAATTAAACCAGAAATTGTCAACAGAAAAGTATCTGAAAAATCCTCAAATATTTGGAAACTAGTAATACAATATTCTTCTAAACAATCCAAGAGATCAAGGGGTATTAAAAATTATTTGAAACTCAATGTAAGTAAAGCACAGCATATCAATATTTTGAGATGCAGCTAAAACCAATGTTTAGATGGAAATCGATAGCACTAAGTGCCTGTATTAGAAAAGAGTAAAAGTCTCAAATAAATTATAGAACTCCCCACCTTAAAAACTAAAAGAAAAGGGGCACCTGGGTGGCTCAGTTGGTTAAGCGTCTGCCTTTGGCTCAGGTCATCATCCTCGGGTCTTGGGATCAAGCCCACGTTGGGCTCCCTGCTCAGCGGGGAGTCTGCTTCTCCCTCACCTCCCTGCCCTCCCCCTCCTCATGCACACACTCTCTCTTTCAAATAAATAAATAAAATCTTTTTAAAAAGAACTAAAAGAATGAAGAATAAAATAAGTCCAATTAGGCAGAGGTAAGGAAGAGTTTGTTACAAGTCAGTAAGTATTTTACAGCCTGGGACAAGCTAAATGTTGAGAACCTTGAATAAACCAAGGGTGAAGCATGTCTACTCTTATTGAGGATTGGCCCTAGGGAGAGACCAGTGGGTCTGCTATAAGGTATGTGGTTGGGCTGCTCATTTGGATTAGAGGTCTAAGTGAGGACTCTTTCCACAGTATGATGCCAAAGGAGACTGGATCAAAGACATGGGGCAGAGTGAGGGTTCTTGGTAGGTTCTGGACCAGGGCAAATTGAGATGACTACCCGAGGCTTTGTCCTTTGAATGACTTGTACCTGTATGCCTAGAACCAAGTGTCTGAACAAGAAGAGCCAATTCAAAATCAAATGTTCTTCTTGTTAGTTACCTTCCTAATTTCCTGCCCCTAAGAAAAAGGATGGAAATCCAACCTTCAGGCTAAGATTGTCCTTGAATAATAATACTCCTTTCTAGATTTTTCTTGATGTTTCTTTAATTTGATTTTATCTGTCAACATGTTCAGAGTGAGAGGAGAACTATCAGCATGATTTCACTAGCCTCTGCCCTGGTCCTCTCACTGGAGATGAACTACATATTCATATTAAAAAAATGAAAAAGAATAGATAAGTGCTACTTCTCTATAGAGGTGGAATGTTGGTTTCTTCTCAGGCCAAATTTGGCAGAGTGTGAATTTAAAGGAGGTACAGTGGTGATGGTGGTGGTCATGGTGGTGGTTTAGTGTGTGTGTGTGAGTAGGCCAGAGTCACCTTGTTCTCTTTTGACAAAATGGAGTCCAGAGAGCTCCAGAGAGTTCTAGTCAACTGTCTTAAAACCTATGACAAGGCCACAGAATTTAGCTAACAAGTCAAAATCACTTAAAGATCAATCATACATACTTATGATAACTGAGAGTATTTTTGCCTTAGTTTCACTTTCTCTCATTTTTCTTAGTTTCACTGTCTTTCTCTTTCCTTCAGTGAGTAACTAGAGATCCAGAAAGTGGAATAATTTGAGGAAAAATGAAAAATTATATTTATTTAGCAACAGAACAACCTAGGAAAGTAGAAGATTTAAAATGGCACAGCATCAAAAAAATAATAAAAAATAAAATGGCACAATATCAAAACCTAAAGCCATCACAAGAAAAGAAAGCAACAAACAAATAGTGCTGTTGAACAGATACAAAAATTATGAACAAAATATTAGCAAACTGAATTCAGCAACATTTAAAAATGATTATATACCACGACCAAGTGGGATTTATTTAAGGAGTGCAGGACTGTTTCAGTATATGAAAATCGATCAATGCAATACACTATGTTAATAGAATAAAGGACAAAAACAACATCTCAAAAAATGTGGGGAAAGAATTTGACAAGATCTGCCATCTTTTTATGATAAAAACAGCCAACAAACTAAAAATAAAAGGAAACTTCCTAATCCTGAAAAGACATATACAAAAACCTACAATTAACATCATACTTAAAGGTGAAAATGAAATTTTTCCTCTAAGATTAGGAACAAGACAAAGATATCTGATCTCACCACATCTATTCAACATTGTACTGGAGGTTTTAGCCAGGTAAATTAGACGAGCAAAAGAAATAAAAGTCAGGGGCGCCTGGGTGGCTCAGTCGTTAAGCGTCTGCCTTCGGCTCAGGTCATGATCCCAGGGTCCTGGGATCAAGCCCCGCATCGGGCTCCCTGCTCCGCGGGAAGCCTGCTTCTCCCTCTCCCACTCCCCCTGCTTGTGTTCCCTCTCTTGCTGTGTCTTTCTCTGTCAAATAAATAAATAAAATCTTTAAAAAAAAAAAAGAAATAAAAGTCATTCAATTAGGAAAGGAAGAAGTAAAACTATTTTTATTTGCAGATAATATATAGAAATCCCTAAGGATTCCACAAAAAAGTTATAGAAATTAATAAACAAGTTCAGCAAGGTTTTCAGATACAAAATCAATGCACAAAAATCAGTTGTGTTTTTAAACACCAATAATGAACAATCTGAAAATTAAATTAAAACAATTCCATTCACTATAGCATTGGAAAGAATAAAATACTAAGGAATACATTCACAAAAGAAATGCAAGATCATACACAGAAAACTACAAAACATTTTTGAAAGAAACTGAACAAGACCTAAATAAATGTAAAGACATTCCATGTTCATGGATCAGAAGACTTAATATTGTTAAGATGGCAGTTCACCTCCCATCTCAATGTTATTTATTCCATAGTCAAAATTAACCCTGCCACATTTTTAATTTTATCAATTTATTCTCGATTAACCTTATCTCATATAAATTCTTTTTTTAGATTATTTATTTGGGGGGGAGGAGGGGCAGAGGGAGAGAATCTTAAGGAGACTCCCTGCTGAGTGGGGAGCCCAACTCAGGGCTCAAACCCAGTACCCTGAGATCATGCCCTGCGAGCCGAAATCAAGAGTCAGATGCTTAACCAACTGAGCCACCCAGGCGCCTCTCATATAAATTCTTAAAAATACAGCATCAGCATGAGTTCATATTCCAAATAATTCACATATATCAAACACCAAAATATCCACAGTCAGACCTGTATAGTGTGCACATTATCTGTACTCCTTTAGTAAATGGGGCTCACTCATTAACAAATATTTATTTACTTTCTGCATTCCTTCATTCAATATTCACCACCCGGAATCAGATGGCAATCCTCCAAGCAATCTACAGATTCAACACATCTCTAAAAACTCCCAGTTTGTTTGGTTTGTCATTGTTCTTTTTTTTCAATAATTGATAAGATAAACCTAAAATTCATATGTCAATGAAAAAGGACAAAGTTGGAGGACTCATGCTTCTTAATTTCAAAACTTACTATGAGGCTACATTAACAAAGACTATGTGGTATTAGTATAAGGATAGAAATATAGATCAATGGAATAGAATTGAGGATCCAGAAATAAACTATACATTTATGGCCAATTGATTTTTGACAAGATTGCCAAGACCATTCAGTGGATAAGGAACCATCTTTTCAACAGAGGGTACTGGGATAACTGATTGACCACATTCAAAAGAATAGACTTAGACACCTACCTCATACCATATACAAAAAAAATTAACTCATACATGAATTATAGACTTAAATGTAAGAGG